TGCTTTGGCTATCCAGTCAATGTTTTTGGTGGTTCCATACAAATTTTATGATTTTATTGTATATCTTTTAAAAATACCATTGGGATTTTTATGAGGAATGCTTAAATATGTAGATTGTGTTTGGTAATACGGCCATTTAAACAATGTTAATTCTTCCAATCCAAGAACATGGAATATCTTCCCATTTCTTTGTGTCTTCGATTTTTTTCCCCTCAACAATGTCTTGTAGTTTTTCAGTGTACAGGTCCTTTACTCTCTTTGTTTAGTTTATTCCTAGGCATTTTTATCATTTTTGTTAAAAGTGTAAATGGGATTGTTGTCTTTCTGTCCCTTTCTCATATTTGTGGTTAGTATACAGGAACACAGTGGATTTTGTATTTTGATTTTGCATCCTGCAACTTTACTGTATTTGTTTATTGTTTCTAGTAGTCTTTTGGTGGAGTCCTTAGGGCTTTCTATATGAAGAAACATGTCATCTTGTAAAAGGTGACAATTTAACTTCTTCATTCCCAATTTGGATACCTTTTATTTTTTTCTCATGCCTGATTGCTCTGGCTAGGACTTGCAGTGCTGTGTTGAATAACATTGAGGAGAGTGAACACTTTGTCTTTTTCCTGATCTCAGAGGACAAGCTTTCAGTTTTTTGTCGTTGAGTGTATTAAGTGAGGGTTTATCATACATGGCTTTTATTATATTGAGGTACTTTCCTTTTATACCCATTTTATTGAGTGTTTTCATCATAAATACCGTATTTGCCAGCGTATAAGACGACTGGGTGTATAAGACGACCCCCTAACATTTCCACTCAAAATACAGAGTTTGTTATATACTCGCCGTATAAGACTACCCCCTCTTCCGCACACCTTCCACACACCAAATAAAAGGTAAAACAATATCAGATTTGATTTTAACATTTTAATTTATATTCAAATGCTTATGACATGCAGGAAAACTGTCACAAGGCTGTATGTAATCAAACATATACATAAAACAGTGCAAGTTTATTACCGGTAAACATACCGGTAATTCACTAAAGAAAACACACTCTATAGACTGGTACCGTAGATGCTTCTCAGGAACACAGGCAAGCAGCCCACAACCTAGAGGGACTGTCAATGATAGAAGAAAGATAACAAATAGAGGTAGAGAGCAAGTGCCGGGCAAGTCCCTAGCAA